TGCTACATTCAAATAAATAAGTTCTTTTTAAATTAAAACTTGTAACAGGACGTTTCGTCGTGGAGGCTGAATTGTCCGACGGTGGCGCTAAAGATCCCTTCCTTGCCCACCTTGGCATTGCCATTGCTTGGCATCAAGCACGATTTTTACATCGTGTCGGGGGCAGCGCTCATATGTACGTTCTAAGCGCTCATAGAAGAGATCATTGGACGCCTCATCCTTCTCTTCCGTCGAGGCATGGGCGCAGATGATCGAGATGTTGAATAATCTAGCTTTGATGCGGATTGTGGCTAAACGTTCGTCCACCGGTGTGAACGCCAGTACTCGGCGACGGAGTCTCTCTCCTACTACGAATCCAACACCGAATTTGCGCTCCTTTACGTGGCAACTGTAGTAGACGTCGCAAGGCTACACGCTTACTTTTCCTTGCCTCGTCCATCGCATTTCTTGGATTGCGGTGATGTCAGCCTTTGTCTGCCCGAGGACATCAACCAGCCGCGCAGAGGCACCTTCCACATTAAGGGTCCGGATATTCCAGGTGCATACCCTTAAATTATAGTCCTTTATACGATTACCGTGGTCGTCATCAAAAAAGGCTGTTTGTTCTTTTTCATTGGGGGGGTTTTAACGTGTCGGGACCCATCGCATGTGAAGTTTTACGCCTTCTCACTTTAGCTCGCTCCCAAACGGGTGTTTGGTTGCTACCCAGAGGATACGTGGATACAAATATCCGGACGTTGTGGGCTGCGATTTGAACCGTACGCACAAGAATCGCTTCTGGCCACTCCCAGGTGAATGGCAGTCAAAAATTTTCCCCTTCTGCGCACGGAACCATCCTTCGCCTACAGGTTTCTTAAATTCTGAAACAGCCCAAGGAATGAGAGTGAAGAATTCTTTTTAAAAAGCCTTAGAAAAGCTTACACATCTTGTTAGGCTTGTAAGCGGTGTTTAAACAACGAATTATGCTACATTCTTCAAGTGAAGATGAAAGTCAGGAGGATACATCTGACAGTTTAAGCGACGATGCAACTCTCATTACTATTTTTGACTTCAAGTCAGGGTTGCCGTTTTGGGCTTTTCCTACCAAAATAGGTAGGTTTTTTGTCTCGTTGGTAGGATGGTAGGATTATTAAAAACAAATCTCTGGTCTCATTCTTTATCTTGCATGGGTCGAACTGTTTGCTGTTATATCAAACACCTTTAAAAAAAATTGCTGCTTACTGGTATAGGCAGAATTATACTAATTACATTCGGCAATTCTCTAAACTCCGTAGGCGCTATAAAAAATTTTATCCATTGCGTATCTAACGGGATATCAAGCGATTGAATTGATGGATGTAAGGCCGATTTATAAATCAGATATTTTTCTTTGAAATGCAGGTGCGAATCGATGACAGTTTCAACAATGACAAGGTCGTTAAAATATTTTAAATGACATTAGAAGAGCGATTCAAATGCCTAATACATAACAAATGTACGTGTTTAAAGAATATGTTGTTTTTTATCATACACGAAAATTAAAAAGAACAACTTATTGTTAGTCATATTTCCAGTAAATTGGAGAATCTCAAAAAATAAATCAATGGCAAACCCGCAGCGCGCAGCCCCAACGCCGGAGGCTCCTGGATGCGGACAGTTGGCAAGCCTAACCGTGAGGTTTCTTTTGACATTGCTTATGTATATATACTTCATAATATACTTATGAATGCAAATGAGCGATGTATAAAAAATCGACGACGGAATTTTATGTTCTGCTACGATTTTTCACGTCATTTACTCCGAACGCTTTATTAAATTACAAAACTATGCGATTTTTTGCCATTTTTTCAGTTTTTCGCAATTTACTCGATATTTTGAGAGTGTAAAAGTCAAACGGACCTCAGATTCGGATTCAGCGTGTCGAAATACATGTCGGTGGGTGGGTCTGGCTAAAAGCACACGCCACTTTTTTCTGTGTGCTATATGTAAGTTAACACATCCGCCGTCACCCAACATGTTGCATTCCCACAGTCCAGCAATACACGTGCGCCATGTCAGCATAATTGTGGTTCACAACATAATTGACATCCTACACCTTTGTCAAGGCCAAGTGCATTTCATCATATCATGCTATAGCAATATTGCACAACGTTATCAGACACCTATGGGAACCGTCGGCCACAGTTAGTACCTCTGGCTAATGCTTACGCAACCATTAGTATACCGGAGCCAATGCATTAGGCATTGCAGCGGTGTCAGCATAATTTCATTTCACACGGTTGTGAAATCAGTGTTTTGCATATTCCAAGTTACCTGTGGGAATTCAAGGCCAAGGCGGCTCGCTGACGTCGCCTATGTCTGGCTATAGAACAACGGCAGCGGAACAGCCTATAAAGGGTGGCAGAACTCGGAGCAGCGGCAGTTGCATCGGGGTGTTACTATAGTCAATTAGGCTTATTTATTTATCTCAATAAAGACCTTATATTATAACGTTTAAATTACCTCTTTTAATTCCAGGGCAAGTTGGCCCTTTAATTTTTTTGTTGTTCAGGACCTTCAGTCCTTAACTGGCGCCCGGGGCAGGGACCAGTAGTCTTAGTAGTAAAATAAAATCGGGATAATCAAATCAGTGATTAAGGGCCGGTTGTTCAATGTATGATTAGCACTAATCGGAGGTAGAAGCTCTGGTTATATACAACGACTGCTTTATCGATCACATGTTATATGCATGATGTCGAAAACGTCGATAATGATGTTTAACCAGCAAGTAGTGTTAACCAGACATTGAACAACCGGCCCTAAGTGATTGTGAAAAGTGGAAAGAAGTTATACCAAATAAAAGGGAAAAATAAAAATTAGCTAAAAGGCTATCTAAAAAGAAGCCAGTAAACAAAATATCAAAAAGCTATTAAAGTGCTTAAGTGAAACTAATCAAAAAATAATCAAGTGACAAATAAATGATCCTTGCAGTGTTGTGAGTAAAAATAACCACTTTTCGTCTGCATATTTTCCTTGTTTATTTCCAGGATGGATTCGCTTCAGGACGACGTAACGAGATTGACTGGTGCAGTTAACGCACTTATGGACCAGCTGAATGGGATAGAGAGGCGTGTATCAAGCTTGGACACACTTCAAAATAGGATCGCTTTGATAGAAGCTGCTACTCCGCAGCTAAATGGAGTGGAAGCAGAAGTACAAGTTCAGCCCCGAGCTCCAGCAACGGAGGCGGAACTTAGAGATATCTCGAGACTTCCAGACTCTGTGAAGGAGCTACAGGTGTTCAACTGTAAGCCAACTATGTTTGTGTCATGGGTGCATGCTGTCGAGAGCATCCTTACTGATTTCGAGCGAGAGGGTAAGCCAATCTATCGTGCGATTTTACAGCACATTCGACAAAAGATACGAGGACCTGCCGATACTGCCCTCATATCCTATAGCATTTTTGACACTGACTGGACTGCCATGAAGGAGTGTCTATCACTCCATTATGCCGACAAACGCGACATACGCACCTTGGAGTACCAACTCCACCAACTCTCCCAAAGGGATTCGCGGCTCGATGACTTCTATGGAGCCGTGAATCACCAATTGCTTTAATTATAAATAAACTCAAAACTGAGAAATACTCTCAGGAGACAGCGCAGGTACTAATAGATACGTACAGAAATCGCGCGCTTGATGTGTTCATCCGTGGATTGAATGGGGATCTTTCAAAGATGCTCCTGGTTCAGCGTCCTAGGAATCTACCTGAGGCATACTCAAGGTGCCTCGAGATACAGAATACAAATTTGAGGAACTACGCGATACACACTGCACGGTTTAATAACCGTATTGTCGCACCGATGAATACCATGCCAGATCGCATGCATGGTTTGGATGGTAACAAGGCGCCTCCACTTCCACCCAGGACAACATGGCGTCCCCAAGAGCGACGATATCTCTTTGAAAAACGAGTTGGACACACTACTCCTAGGCGAGATCCTCCGTCAACCTCTCAGCCACCCGTCGAGAAGATGGACGTGGACCAGTCGGTCCAATCGCACAAAGTGAACTACATGAATAGACCGAATCCCTTTAAACGAGGTGCAAGATCAGATAACCTTCCGCGAAAACAGCAAAAGCTGTTCAACATAGAGACGGACGATAACAATGACGAAGTGACTAACTACTTGCAGACTTCACAGGAGGCACAGGAGGAGAATTTTTTATCCAACGGCCATCTAGCGTACCTTACTTAGAGTATGTACTCCCTGACGGCCGCACCTTAGATTTTCTTGTCGACACTGGTGCCAATAAAAACTTCATTAAGCAAACGGTCGTCAAGCAAGGCAAACCAGTCGACAGATCCTTTACCGTAAGATCAGCAGGCGGAAGTATCCCGATACAGAAAAAAATAAGTTTGAATTTGTTTAAGGATACAAACGTTGACTCTGACATAACCTTCTTTGTGCTCCCAGGATTAACCTCATTTGACGGAATCATAGGGGACGATACACTTAGGGATATTGGTGCGATAGTGGACAGAAAATCTAATATTCTAAAGGTTAACGAATTTAAAATCCCGCTGAAGGCTCGGCTATTTACCCAAGTGAATTATATCTTGTCTAAGGACATCCCTGTTGAAACGGAGGAAAAAGTGAACAAACTAGTAGCTAAATTTAGCAACCTTTTCCTACCTATTAATGGGAAGGAATTAGTAGACACTTGCGTACGCGCAGAAATTAAAACGTCAACTTCTGAACCAGTTTATAGCAAAAGCTATCCTTATCCTTCTTGCATGAGAAGAGGTCGACCGACAGGTGAACGAATTGCTGCAAGAGGAAGTTATCCGACCATCCAAGAGTCCATACAACTCTCCTATTTGGGTGGTTCCTAAGAAACCTAAACCAAATGGGGAGAAACAGTACCGTATGGTAATTGACTACAAAAGGCTTAACGCTGTAACGATTCCCGACACCTATCCTATCCCTGACATAAACGCTACTTTGTGTAGCCTTGGCAACTCCCGTTACTTCACGACCATTGACTTAACTTCTGGGTTCCACCAAATCCCTATGAAGGAATCCGACATATCTAAGACTGCTTTTTCGACCATGAACGGTAAATACGAATTTTTGAGATTGCCTTTTGGCCTCAAGAACGCGCCAGGCATCTTCCAGCGTATGATCGACGATGTACTGAAACAATATATCGGTAAAATCTGCTATGTGTACATCGACGGTATCATTGTGTTTGGTAAAGATGCTGACGATCATTTGAAGAATGTCGAAATGGTATTTTCTCGATTGTTGGAATCCAATCTAAAAGTGAATTTAGAAAAAACCTGCTTCCTGCAAACTGAAGTTGAATTTTTGGGGTACATCATCACTCCCGAAGGAGTTCGTCCTGACCCAAAAAAGGTTGAGGCTATGAATTTAATTTTGCCACCATGCAATTTGAAAGATCTGAAAAGTTTTTTGGGAATGACCTCCTACTATCGGAAGTCCGTTCGTGACTACGCAAAAATAGCTAAGCCATTGACAAATCTAACGCGCGGGAAAAATGCACTAATAAAAGCCAGTGCATCGAGGAAGGTAGACATACAACTTGACAGTGCGGCTTTGCTAGCCTTCGATGACCTAAAACGTATGCTAACTTCCGCTGATGTCCTGGCATTTCCTGATTTTGGTAAGCCTTTTAATTTGACCAGTGATGCGTCGAACTACGCAATTGGTGCAGTTCTATCCCAGGGGGATATAGGTACGCACAAACCAATTGCATATATTTCTCGCTCTCTGAACAAGGCCGAGGAAAACTACGCTACGAATGAAAAAGAGATGCTAGCCATAGTGTGGGCATTAGATAATTTGAGGTCGTATTTGTACGGTGCCAAAAAGATAAGAATATATACTGATCACCAACCATTAACATTTTCCTTAAGCTGTCGCAATTATAATGCAAAACTAAAGAGGTGGAAAGCACGCATCGAAGAATATAACTGTGAAATAATTTATAAGCCAGGGAAGGCTAATGTGGTCGCGGATGCTCTTTCCCGTCTTAAGACCGAACTCAACGCCTTAATGGAGTCTGTGGTTGCTCAACCGTCAGGAAGCGAAATAGGAAATAGTGATGAGGTAGCAACAATGCACTCCGCTGAACAGGATAATTCCGATCTTATACCACAAGTCGAGGCCCCCATAAACGTTTTTAGGAATCAGGTGATATTTAGAGTAGGTCAGAAATCTCGATGCCATGAGCAACCGCATAATGGCTACCGCAGATATTTTATTTCTTTACCAAATATCGACAGTTCAAACGTTATTCCAATTCTCAAAGAATGCCTTAATCCTAATGTTATAAATGGCATAAAAATTCCTGAGGAATTTCTCCAATTATTGCAAAACGTGTATGCTAATAATTTCCACAGGTATAGGATCAGGATAACTCAGCGCCTAGTTAAAGACGTGACCATCCCTGATAGAATTTTCGATATAACCGAGGAAGAGCATCGCAGAGCCCATAGGAATCCGAAGGAAAATGGAGAGCAGATTCTAGAAAAGTACTACTTTCCAGGTATGTCAAAACAAATTAGGGATTATGTTAGGCAGTGCGAAGTGTGTAAGCTTAATAAATATCCGGCTAAGCCTCACCTCCAGCAGGCACCGATCCCCAGCTACCCATGCGAGATCATTCACATGGATATTTTTGAGATTGAAAAACAGAAGTTTCTGAGCTGTGTAGACAAGTTTTCAAAATTCGCAAAATTATTCGCTATCAAAAATAAGTCGTCCATTTATATCCGAAGGAAACTTACTGAAGTTTTACATTATTTTTCCGTGCCAAAAATCTTGGTCATGGACAATGAGGGGGGATTCCTAACTCCACTCGTTCTCAATTACATTAGATCTCTCGGAATTGAAATTTACCAGACGCCCACACAACGGAGTGAAGCCAATGGCCAGGGCGAAAGGTTACATTCAACCTTGATTGAAATTTATCGGTGCATATCTAACGACTTTCCTAGGATGACTCCCAAAGAGAGGGTAGCGATAGTCGTAGATAGGTACAACAATACCATTCATTCCATAACAAAAAGGAAACCGGTAAATATATTCTTTAACAGAACAGCTAGGGTAAACTACCAAGG